TTGACGTATTGTCGAAAGAAATCGATCCAGTGAGAGCTGAGAAAAAGTGGCAACAGACATAAAAAAAAAAAAAAGAAACACTTTCATAAGTTAATTTTTTGTGAAAAAATTTTGAATCCCCCCTAAGAGCAGGTAAAAGGTTAAATTTATAAAAATTTATACCAAATGATAGGTAAAGACATCAAGCATCTATAAAAAAAAAAAATTATATTGATATGTTCATTTTTAAAAAAGTTATGGCAGTTTAATAGTAATAAAAATTGAAAAAATTAGCGATTTTTAAATTTGTAATTTTTTTGGAGGTATCCCCCATTTAATTTATATATTTCATATTTTATGCTTACTTAACAATAAACGATAACATTAAAAGAATGAAACAATGATGATTGTTCGAGGATAATAAAATACTATAAAGCCAGAGTAATGATTCTCAGTCAGGCCTAAGTGCTGAGGGCTTGAGAGAGTCTGTCTCCAGATATTCATTGAGCTGTTTGAATCGCGCTCTCGACATCGATACGTAAAGTTCGTAATCATCATTGTCGAAATTCTTACGTGTTAATTTATGAATTAAACATTTGAGTTCGTATTATTTTGTTATTACCTGATATTGTTAAAAATTATTATAAAAACATAGAAAAATCTTCAGATAAGACTTCAAACCAATAAGAGTCAGTTATTTAGAACTAGGCTCCAACACAGGCCCGGAACCCTACGAACCTTACGCGCCAAAGGCGCGTAAGCCATTTCAAGCCGTCATCATAAGTAAGTCACTAATTCCGGTAGGTGTACGCCGGGCACGGTAAGTGTTTTACAAAAAAAATATTACATCAGAATCAGTGTGTCAAAAATATATTAAAAATATTATTATTAAAATTAGAAAAAATCAAAAAGAGATTATAGTAAAATGTATTGTGTATAAGGTTGACGTTTGTTTATGAAGTATTCCCTTTAGGCCTATTCAAAAATTATTTTAGGAGGATATTTAATATTTTTTACTTTGTTAAACATGTTATACAATTTTTTTTGTTAAAAATTAAAGTAATAATGAAAAAAAATGACATTAGATCCTTATTTATTATAATTTGCCTAAAAAATATTGATAGCGCTGGTTCAAGGGGGGTCCATATTCCCCTTAAATAAACCTCTGGTATACAAAAAAATTATTAATATTCTAATTATAATAACTGTGTTTATATTACAGAATAATTTAAAAAAAATTCAGCAGGTTATTATACGTGGAACTATGTAAAAAATTTAATTTTGATAAAAGTCAGGTTATGTATATTGTAGAAATCTTAAAAATTTTCCGACCTTCGTCAATAATTTTCCTGGAGTCTGGTGACCGAGTACTTTCGTTGGAAAAAAAAATTTTGAAAACCGAGCACGCTAAGTAATTTTTCCAGAAAAGTGTTTTTTTCCCTTGTTCTATTATATAATGAGATTAATAATCTGAGTATAGAACGATAAAGCAATAGATCAAATAATTATATTAATCTTTAAACTTCAATTAATTATTATTAACTAGTTCGCACCTTTTACATAATCCCATTACATGGCATTCTTGAGATGGCTACCGCTTCTTCGTTGCCTAAAAGAGTTTAAAACCTAATGTGATTTCTACTGTATATATTGTAAGAACATTTATTACTATGTTCTTACTACTTATATTACACACGTTTTATTTCTATTTATATAATTCGTAATACATATTAATTAGCATAGAGGGAGATGCTGATGTGACTATTCTACTTGTCTGTAGCCCGGAGCTACTGACGTCTAACTAACAAAGGGCAGTTGTGTTTGAGTGGCCGTTATAGACATAGTTTTCAATATTATTACTTTCGTCTTATTTATAACTTAACTTGTTTTATTCAACGACCCGTCTATCGCCAATTGTCATCATAGCCAACCAACTCCGTCTCACTTGGATATACCTACTAACCAACTGTACATGGATTCAGGTCAGACGTATTGTACATTACATATAACTTATATTTACTAAACATCTAAAATAGAACTTTACTTTGTCGTTGACATAAAACAATAGTCTAATTTTATTTAATAATCTATCCCCTGAAACTAAGGTACACGATTGCCCGTGTCTCCTTCAGGCAATTAAAACTCATTTAAGGAGATAGGAAAGATATTTGGGCAGACGTCGGGTAGCTTCCGATTCTTGGTTTTCACCTAGATCCTCAACTATTAAACACTTTGACTGGGTATTTGTGAGATGGCCACTGCCTCTTCGTTGCCTCAGTGTATTATTACAGGTACTTACCTGTTGGGTCATTTATAATATCTCTATAAGAGTAACCTTAGTTATTTCTTTTTATTTCTACTTGTCTTTATTGTTCTAAACCCTCGGACTATACAACCCCGACAGAATCTCGTTGCTCATCAATTGACCAAATCCCTAAACATACATAAACTTAGTCAATATACACAATACACATTTACACCTATTTATATCTTTATTTTCGTATTACTACAATATGTTGAGCCAATATATTAAGAATACACTAGTTTTCTTATTGGAATAAACAGGCGTTCATGAAAATGACAAAGGCAAAAAACCAAACTGTTTCGTTCTTCAACCGCCTCATGTCAACACCGCCTAATATTTTCCATACTTCTACAGGCACTTCATTTGATCTTAATGCTTTATTCTTTTTCATTGATGCCACAGTCTCCCACACCTCTTTCTCACTAATTAAATCTACTAGTCCCTCGTTCCATGAGATATCCTCTAATATTCCTCATTCAGTAATTTTTCAAAATACTCTGTTCACCTTTTTTTCACATCATCATCACTCGATATCACCCTCTTATCAACACTTTATACATCTTATATAGTAATAATCTTTAGAATTGTTTTCTCTTACTTTTGCAAGTCTATAGACTTCTTTTTCACTTTCATTTTTTCCTAGCCTATCATACAACTGTTTATACTCCATACAATCTTCTCTCCTTTGCTCCTCTACCATACTTTGAACTACTTTTTCTTACTCTAAGATTCTTTGAACGTTCTTGGCAACAGGTTTACTTATTTCCTGGCATTCTACTATTACTCTTACCAACAATCTCTTTTGCTATTCCACACATCATTTATATCTCCCTCGAAATTCCACACCATCATTTCTTTTACCAATTTTATTAGCTCTTTTTTCCCATTCAATTTCCATCATCAGATCCTCGATTTTTCACCTGTGTTCTTTCTGTTTTTGTATATTCTCTTCCCACTACACCACAACTCCATTACCATCAGTCTACGTTCTGAAGTTACATTCTTGCCTAGGACAACTTTACAATGTTATACCCGCATTAAGCTCTCTCTATTCCACATCAAATAGTCAATCTGTGACCAAGTCCTCAAAAATACATAAACTTGGTCTACATGCACAATACATATAAACCTTCCTTTTAATCCTAATTTTTGTATTATTACAAAATCTTTTAAAACACCAAAAGTTACCAAGAAATGATTACTATTATTTCTATTTTAGTTATCTATTACGTTAAAAATGCAAAAAAATATTGAGGTTTTCTGATAAATTTACTATAAATAGTAATTATAAAATTTCCTCACTGCATATTAATCTTAACAATACAATTTTTTTAATTCTTATAAATTTTTTATTTAATGATGTCAATTTCAAACTTGCAAATTGAGCTAAAAGTTATTGTAATAAATTATTATTTTTTTTTATTATAAACTTTTACAAAAATCAACTTTGAAGGATTAACGAAATAGGTTAAATATGCCATTTTCCTTATTTTTAACATATTAATAATTAAAATCAGTATTAATTTAAAACAATTTTTTTGTGTTCTTAATTATTTTTAGCTTCGATGCGATGCTGAGAAGGTATTGGTTTTACTATGATGTGTTTTTTTTGTGTGTGTGTCTGTAAACGCTCAATCTCAGCTCTCGCTGGACCGATTTTGATAAAAAAGATGTCAAAAGATCACAAATCGTATCTAGTCGAAGACATTACTCTCTAAATTTGAAAAAGCCTCCCTCATTCCCCGTAAACGGGGGATATCCTATAATAAACTACACATTTAAAAGTCACTAATTTTCGACATCTTTTCAATTTGAAAATTGCTTCATACAGCCCCTCATTTACCTCTTATCAATTTATAGAGGAGAGTTTATGTAATGCTTATCAATGAAGCAATTTGATAAAACGTATTTTAGCGTCTCATTTTATATTTTGATAACATATTTTACTACCTCCCTCCTTAAAGATAAAATTTCCTTTCACCTTTCTCATACCAAATGAGATTTATTATTTCTGTTTCTTTGAATGAACAAACAACCATATTTCAAATTCTTCCCCACCCTATATGAATATGAATATACTCATGTTTTTATGCCGATTAATTTTTTTTTAACACTTGTAATTGTATAAAACATAATTTTTTTTGAACTAGACATTTTATTTCTCTTATTAAATTAATTAAGTTAGTAAAAATCAATTTGATATTATCTAGTTTAATAAACTACGCGATTTATCAATTATGAAATATTCATTATAATGTAGTTATAACAACCGTATTACTATATCGAAAGTAGTATTCGTCAAGTAATTTTCTTAATTAAATCATTTGTTATTTTATATGCTAGTTATATATGTACGTTTCCATTAAAAACAACAAAGTTTATGTTCCTGTAACGTATTAGAGATAAATAAAAAAATACTTAATAAATATTATACTAAGTAGTAATAAATATAATTTTTGAATTTCACACTTTTTAATTTTATTTTTGTTAAATTTTTATAGTACTTCATTGTTTAACAAGGCGACGTATTCGAATGATTTTTGTTATAAATAACATATTTTAAATAATTATTTTTAAGATTTAAGTAAATAAATTGAAATATAACTAAAAAAATGTACAGTTGGCTTCATAAATAATTTATATTCCTACTTAAAATAAATAACTAAAGACAATTAAAAAATGACATTACACTATACATAGATCTCAGTACAAGTTTTATGTGTTAGTGTTCATTAGTTTTGATTTATAAAAATTTGTACTATTTATTTAAACTTTGTATTATGTAAAATATGAATTTTCTTAACTGTTTTGTATTAATCGTTATTTTAATTCAATCACTATTGTCAAATTTTGTGTTATCGAATTTAAACGAAATTAAAAAAATTGCAATTCTTAATGGAATACTTGCGAATGTAAATGCATGGGATAAATTTAAGAATATAAAAGTTAAATATGGAAATAGAAAAAACTTGAAAATATTAACAGTTGATAATATCTTTGATAATATTGACAACAATATAAATATACATCAGAATAATACACAGCTACTTTCATCAACATATTTGCATGTTAATTCAAGCAATCATCAAAAAAAGGTAGAGTTAATTTTTAAACTCGTAAAATGTAAGTGTTGGGAAATGATTAAGCTCTGTAATCGAATTTTGTTATACATGAATAAAGGTTATAAAATGATCTATGATGAAGAAATAACAAGACAAGATATATCAATGACCTTACAAATGAAGGATTTGCTTCTAAGAAAAATCGATGAATATAAAGAATTAGTACATTATCTTTATAATATAGCACTGTTTTTTAAAAGTTTATTTCCTCAAGGTAATACTGAAGTATGTGCTGATGACGCATTTTTTTCGAAACTACGTTCCGTAGTAAATATGCCAATATCACCTGAAGATGATACATTTGCAAAAAATTTGAAAAATACATTAAATGACTCATTTAAGAAAATTTTTTATTATTCAAAACATTTATGTTCTTATACAAATAGTATTAAACTAATGCCTTCATATAAACAAGAATACAAAGATTATAAGTCACCTAATGAAGAAAATATTGATAGCCTTGCAGAATATATAAGTTATTACTTTGACTATCATGTAAAAGAAACTTATGATTTGTTTAGACTGTTGACATTAAATATAGATATTAATAATACATAATATTAAATTATCAATTTTTTATGTTTATAAAATATATATGAAACTTAAAAATGCCAAATCAAGTTTTGATAATAGATATTAATAATGTACCTGATAAGTTCAACACTTATATTTGTATAATTATATTATATTCTTATATTTTATAAAAATATAATTATTTTATTATTATTAATTATATAAAACATTGTTATGTTTTTCATTGTGTATATTAACCAAATACTGACAAATTTCTTGAAAAGTATAAATTTTATTGTCACAATAGATATTAACTGAAATAATAAAAATTATAAATTATTTGTGCTTATCACTATAATGTCATTTCAAAATGTATATGAATATATGTAATCTATTTATAATAATAAATTATTTGAATTGTTAGATCATTTGTAAATTTGTAAATATTAAAACTAAATATTTTGTTTAGTAAATATGACCAAACCATCTAAGTCTATTTTCTCTCATCTTTTCTACGATTGACGCTACATCTATACTCCCTTACTGATGCTACTGACCAAGTGAATTGACGTTTGGGATAAATGTTTTCATGAATTAAACAAAATATACAGTAATGCTTGAGAACTCTTTTTGGAAATATTTTTAAATATACTAACTAATCATGAACTAATCTGAAAGTTTAAGGTAAAATATTTCAGTAGTATTGCATGTAAACAAGGTTCCAACCCGCGTATGGCAATGAATTTTTTGCAATTTTTCTTAATTCTTTTTAAGTTAGTATAAATTTTTAACTCGTTTGATTTTTATCTCATTTAGATTCAATAACTTCAATAAAAATCAAGGATCCCATCACTTTAGTCGCCACTCGCGAGAAGAAATTACTTATTCATATTAAAATTATTTTACTATATTTTAAGTTTTAGCTTCGATACAAAGCTGAGAAGATATTTTTTTGTGACTATCATTTATTTTATCTGCTCTAAATTGACCTACTTTTTTCAACGATACGCCAAATGACTACAATTCGTATTTAGTTGAAGATATTACCCTCAAAAATTATAATCAAATTTTATAATACGCTCAATTGAGTAAATCTTTTTAACAACTTTGTTTTGATTGGTGTATTTAGTTAAAGTAAATCATTAAAATTAATTCAGTTCTGGATATCTCAATTGTAGAATCTTTTTAAATATCAAAAATTACTTAGAAATGATTACTATGATTTCTATTTAAGTGTTCTATTACGATAAAAATGAAAAAATAATGAGTTTTTCTGATAAATTTACAATAAATAGTAATTATAAAACTTTCTGACTGCATATTAATCTTAAAAATAACATTATTTTAATTCTCATCAAATTTTCTATTTAATGATTTATTCTAGTCAACGAAGGAGTAATTTTGGCGAATAACATAAAAAATTCCCAACCAAATTTTTTTTTTTAAGTATGAAATTGGTGGATTATTCCAAAAGCAACATCAACTCTTATTTCTTTAATTATATCACGATTAGTAGTTATTTGATTTTAAAATATAATACATGAATATATACTAATCATAATTATTAAATTTAGTATGAAATTGATATTTAATATTGTAATTTAAACGTAGAAATTATAAAAATAATAAAGAAGTTATATTTTGCTTTACTTAAACGTGTATAAAAATTTAAAGGGCTTGATACAATAGTTTTCTATAAAAACTGTTTGTTACTGTAAAAAAATGCACTGGACTACAAAGAACTTTCATCAGAAGCAAAAATAAATACTTTTCTAAATCAACTTTTCGCGTTGTTTTCAAATCTGCAAGTAGACTTTTTCTATCACATCTAATTTTTTATATTATTACTAATTATATATAAAATAATAATTAAAAGAAAAAAAAAATTTGTTTTCAAATTATTACTGATTTGATTTTTAATATGTTAAAAATAATCAGTCCAAATTTTCAATTTTAACCTATTTTTTTGGTTCTTTAAAGTTGATGAAAAATTTTTGATAAAGATTTATGAAAGTTTATAGTAAAATAAATTGAATATATTACCATAACTTTTAGCTCAATTACAAGTTTAAAATTGACATCTAGGCCAGTCAACAAAGAAAAAATTGCGGAAAAAATTTTGTTTTATTAATAGTTGAATTAAAATATGTACAATGACATACTAATAGTCCTCAAGATTGGAATTGAGCTTTTTTTTTAAAGCCTCGCAAAAGTTCAAAAATATGAGCTTTCTTAATTTTCTCAAAAAAAAATATTTAACTTACANAAAATATGAGCTTTTTTAATTTTCTCAAAAAATATTTAACTTACAAAAAAAAGTTTCGTACAAAAGTTGTTTAAAAGACAATTATAAACAAAAAAATTTTCTTATATTTTTTCATTTAAACAAATATTTTTCGAGTTACATTACATTTAATATGAGTACTAAAATTTATATTCCATTTTTTTCATTTTACGGTTACTTTTTATCATGTTACACTTACATTAGACACAATGTTATATATGCATATGTGTGTATGTGTGAGTTTATTTATTTATTGTATCATTAAAGTGTAGTGTATATTAATACACAAGCGATAGAGTAGGTAATTGATTTGACGCTATATTGTTTAAACCCAACTAAACGCTAAATTGTACATTTCCAAACAACAATCATATTATGTCAATTGCCACCGGAATTTCTGGTAATCTTCTTCTTTTTCTTTGCCTTAATCCCAACTACTTGGGGTTGGCCACCCTTATCCTAAACTTCTACTTGACACGATTTCCCACATCATATACCTTCACTTCAGCTGTCCTCATATCGCATTCAATAACATACCTCCATCTCTTATTTGGTCTTCCTCTACCTCTTCTTCCTTCAACATTCATTTCTATAACTGTTCTTACA